TTGGGGCCCCCAGGATGAATTTTGGGCTCCCATGACGAATTTTGGGGTCCCTGGGTCGGAATTTGGGGTCCCCAGGATAAATTTTGGGGTCCCTGGGTCGGAATTTGGGGTCCCCAGGATGAATTTTGGGGTCCCCAAGATGAATTTGGGGTCCCCAGGATGAACTTTGGGGTCCCTGGGTTGAACTTTTGGTTCCCCAAGTGAATTTTGGGCTCCCCAGACGAATTTTGGGGTTCCCTGATGGAATTTTGGTGTCCCCAGGATGAATTTCAGGGTCCCAGGATGAATTCTGGTGTCCCCAAGACGAATTTTGGGGTCCCCAAGTGGATTTTGCTGTCCCTGGGTCATAATTTGGTGTCCCCAGGATGAATTTTGGGGTCCCAGGATGAATTCTGGGGTCCCTGGGTTGGAATTTGGGGTCCCCAGGATAAATTTTGGGGTCCCCAAGATGAATTTGGGGCTCCCAGGATAAATTTTGGGCTCCCAGGATGAATTTTGGTGTCCCCAAGATGAATTTTGGGGCTCCCAAGATGAATTTTGGGGTCCCTGGGTTGAACTTTTGGTTCCCCAAGTGAATTTTGGGCTCCCAAGACGAATTTTGGGGTTCCCTGATGGAATTTTGGTGTCCCCAGGATGAATTTCAGGGTCCCAGGATGAATTCTGGTGTCCCCAAGACGAATTTTGGGGTCCCCAAGTGGATTTTGCTGTCCCTGGGTCATAATTTGGTGTCCCCAGGATGAATTTTGGGGTCCCAGGATGAATTCTGGGGTCCCTGGGTTGGAATTTGGGGTCCCCAGGATAAATTTTGGGGTCCCCAAGATGAATTTGGGGCTCCCAGGATAAATTTTGGGCTCCCAGGATGAATTTTGGTGTCCCCAAGATGAATTTTGGGGCTCCCAAGATGAATTTTGGGGTCCCTGGGTTGAACTTTTGGTTCCCCAAGTGAATTTTGGGGTTCCCTGATGGAATTTTGGTGTCCCCAGGATGAATTTTGGGCTCCCAGGATGAATTTTGGTGTCCCCAGGATGAATTTCAGGGTCCCCAGGATGAATTTCAGGGTCCCAGGATGAATTTTGGGGCCCCCAAGACGAATTTTGGGGTCCCCAGGGTGAATTTTGGGGTGATTTCCCCCTATTTCTGCTCCTTGGTGGGGGCGTAGTAGAGCTCCAGGGGTTTGCTGAGCTTCCAGAACTTCTCGTTCACCAATTCCAGCGTCAGGGACCCGTTCAGGGGCTGGAAAAGACAAAATTTGGGGTCAAAAATTCCCCAAATTTCCCCTCAGGAACCCCCAAAATTCACCCCAAAATTCCCAAAATTTCCCCCAAAATTCCCCCCAAAAAAACCCCAGATTCCCCCTCAGGAAGCCCCAAAATTCCCAGAAAAAAATCCCAAAATTTTCCCTCAGGATCCCCAAAAATTCC